CACAGGAACATTCCAGAACAATCTGCTGAGCAGAGCCCAGTCCCACAGTTTGCTCTCCAGCCAAGGTTTCCCACAGCAGTTCCCCCCTCCCACAGTCCCAACTCCTGGCTGTGGCAGGAAGACAAACCCCTGCAGTCCCCTGGGAACTCCCACCCCACAAAACARCACAACCCCTCACCTTCCTGAGCTTGTACTCCTCCTGCACCTGGCCCTTCTGGTTGAGGTGCTGCAGCCAGGCTGACACGTCCAGGCGTCGGGACGAGTTCTCCTCGGGGTGGGTTTCTGATGAGGGCAGCTTGGGCCGCCGGATGGAGAACTGCATGCAGGTTTTCTCATCTGCAAGCTGCTCAATGAGGGAACAAATAACTGCAGCACTGAGGAGCTGCACTTGGAGACTTTTTATTATTATTATTTTTTTTTTTATTTAAATTCCAACCATTACAATAACAAGAGCGATTAGAATAATTAAAATCCACTACAAAACAACTTCATTTCAAAAAAAAAAAAATAGTTTCCATTCCTCCTCCAATCTTATCCCTGACCTGAAACTGAATTAATGCTGCTTACAGCAAAACTTGGCCCTGCCAGGAATGCCTGCAATAAATTACATATGATTGGCCATATACAAAGGGATTGCTGTTAGGAGAGCGGGGAACTGCGCTGCCAGGCTCTCTGAGGGCACTCAGGATCCCAGTGCAAGGCTGCAGCTGACATTTAATTTAAAAATCAAAGGTTGCTCAATGCAAAAAAAAGTGAGCCCATGCGACCGTAATAACAAAAGCAGCGGGGGGGCTCKGTGGGAAGGATGGAAATTTAAAAATCACTGTTTCTAATAAGTACATACAATATCTTAAACAGATAATTAAAGAGCTCTTATCACATTTGTATGTAGATTGAATAAAATATGGAAAGATGCCTTGTCAAAACATTCTGCAAACGGAATGTTACGAGGCACAAGATGGATGAAAGGCTCTGACACAATTTCCAACCTATCTCTGAGGATTTCCAGACACCTTCCATGCCTAAAGGACAGTTCTGACCTGTCGGGTCTGGCAAAATCACTGCCTAAGTAAATCCTCTGGATGGATTTACTGGATACAGATCTTCCCCCGTATTCCACAGGTAAAACAGAATGGATGGAGAGAGATTAAGTCCAAGAGAGATCTTGTGTTGGGCTTGAGTTCCATCCTAAACATCCCACACTGGGCCTGACCTGGTGATGGGAACTCAAAGCCTCATTTCCCCAACAGCAACCCAAGAGTGAAACACTGAGAGCCTGGCTCAGGTACCTGGTCCTTGAGCTGGGTTTCTGTGCAGTACTTCCACTGCTGGAACACCTCACACAGTTTATCCAGCCCCCCGTGGTGAAAATGGAAGATCTTGTACTGGCTCTCCCTGCTCGCCACCACCAGCTGCCCGCAGGTACACGCCTCATCACTGTGGGGACAGGGACAAAAACCTGCAGGGACCTCCCAGAGCAAAGAGGGACCAGCAGGGACAGCACAAAACACATCACAAAGTGCAACACACTCACAACAGGGCACAGAAACAATTTYACATCTCTGGGACTCAATGATCCTTGTGGGTCACWTCCAATTGAGATTTGTTRTGATTGYATGACATGGCCATAGTGACAATTTTCTCTGCTTGTGCCTGGTAACAGCACTATTTTTACCCTTCCTTCACATGAAGGAATTAAAATTTGTCTTCCCTGGAGAAAAAAACCACAGGAAGCCTGCCCCAGAAACACAAAGTCAGCTTCTAGACTTGCTCACACACAGCTTGGTCCAAAGAAACAGGGAGTGAGAGCAAACAGAGGGAGTCAAAATGTTTTTGCAATAATTTGAAATAAATTCTGTAATAATTTGAAAGATAACTGAAGAGGCTGAGAGCAGCAAGACTCTAGAGGAGCCTGGTGAGGGACAGGCAAAGGGAAAGGTACCATAGATAAAGATGTTTTTCATATCCCCAGGTTATTTGAAGCATTTTTAGTATGACAGCYAGGAGCAACCTTTACTTTACTAAAAATAAAATCCTTTCGGCTCTGTAATTCAGAGGCTCTCCCTGGGAAGGCTGACACTCGTTTTCCTGGTGACAATTGTTCTGGAAAAGCTTCCAGGTAGGACTGCAGAAATCACCTGAGCCATGACCCAGAGTGCACAGAGCTCACAATTCATGTACAATTCACACAGAGCACACAATTCATCTACAATTCATGTACAATTCATGTACAATTCATGTACAGTTCACACACAGCTCACAATTCATGTACAGTTCACACAGAGCACACAATTCACACAGAGCTCACAATTCACACAGAATTCACAATTCATGTACAATTCA